TCTCACGGCAGCCTTGCGTCCTGGAGAATGGAGACTCCACCCCGAGTCTGTTCAGCTGATATGGGCGCGATTCGGGGAAGCCCAGATCGATCTGTTGCTTCCCCCGAGATCGCTCATTGCCAGTTGTTCTTTCCCTGACCGAGTGCTCTCGGCACGGATGCACTGGCTTACAGCTGGCCTCGGGGCACGCGCAATACGCGTTTCCCCCAGTGAGCCTGCTCGCGCAGTTACTGTGCATGGTCAGGGAGGACGAGGAACAGGTTGCTGGTTGCGCCCCTCTGGCTCAACCGGACCTGGATGTCAGAGCTCTCCCTCGCGATAGCCCTCCCCTGGCAGTCCCTTCGAGAGAGCACCTACTCTCTCAGGGACAGGGCACCACCTGGCACCCTCGCCGATCTTTGAAGAGATTTTTAGACGCGAGGAAGACTTAGGTAACCTCCGATTGCGGTGGCTAATACCGTCACTCGGGCTAGAGCCCCCTCCCCGAGCGCGCCTATGCCCTGACGTGAAGTCTATTCACTGAATGGTGTGTCTCTCGCTGAGAAGACCCCCGTAATTTGCCAGATCAGCGTTGTGCTTTCTTTACGCCGAGAGAAGTTGGAGAGCAGGCTGTCGCCCTCCACACTCAAGGTTACGTGGCTGCCATCTCCGCTCTCATAACGCGGTGGCTGGCAGCACCGTGGGAACGCATAACCTCATCATCCGGTTCCTCAGGGGCGTTAAGCGAATTAATCCACCCCGCCCCCTCTCATGCCCTCTTAGGATCTCGCCCTCGCTACACAAGCCGCGTCAGATCCCTTCGATCCTCGACTCAGTATTTTCTGTCCCTGAAGACAGCTCTGCTGGTCGCGTTGATATCGATTAGAGGGTCGGGGACCCGGAGGCATTTTTCGGTCAGTGACTCGTGCCTGTAATTGGGCTGGCTTCTCTCACGTATGAGACCCCGCCCGCGATATGTGCCCAAGGTTCCTACCACTCCGTTTTAATACGAGGTAGTGAGCCTGCAAGCGCTGCCCTCGGAGGAGGCAGACCCAGCCCTTATTTATTGTCCAGTTCGCGTTTTGCGTATTATCCGGACCGCACTCAGAGTTTAGATCATCTGAGCAGCTCTTCGTCTGTTATAGCGGTCGGCAGCAGGGAAGTGCCGTACCGAAATAAGTTCCCACCAGATTGTGGATGCCTTTCTTTCACTATCAGAGCCGAGATGAGCCGCGTCCCCCGAGAGCGCGTGCGCACTCCACTCGGAGCTTCGCATCCTCTCGAGCGCGCGCACGCGGCGCCCCTCTAACAGACATCTGTAGAGCTGCGGGCTGGGTGACACCCAACACATTTGCAAGGTTTTACAATCTGCGAGTGGAGCCGGTTTCCTCAAGGGTATTAGGTAACCCTTGGTGATTGAGGAAACAATTCGGTAGGGTGTTGAAACACGCTTGCTGCGCCATTTTCCCTAACACGGAGATACGTGCGCCTTTTTATCTGTCAGTAAAGTTCCCCGTCAGGTGAGCCCTGCAGATTCCTCCGTGGCCCCCAGCACTGACTCAGCGGAGGAGTCACTTGCTGGCCCACTACGTTGTAGGTCTGCCCGCTGGTCAGCCCGCGTTTTGGGTAAAGGTGCCTGCTATGCGTGGTCCCCACTAGGCGATCCCATATGCTTATTCAGCCACGGTTAAGTCCCCCCCCCCCGGGCGGACCCGTGTCTTCCCTCCCCGCTAACCACTCTTTTGCTATGCGTACTCCCCCTTTTTAGGGCTAGTCCATATGTAAATTCTGCCATCTATCCCCCCTTGGGTAACGGATGGCCTCCGCAGCGTCCTCCCTATCGGGATTGCACGCTTCCCAACGTACTGTCGTATTTTCCTAGAATTATCTAGATGCTCACGACTTCCCAAAAAATATATATAAATCCGTAAAACTTCTGTTGAAGTAGGATAAATTAGGGCCAGGGACACGTTGGAGGACCGCGCCCCCCATGATGTGGGTGCGTCACGCTTGCTTGACTATCTCCTCATCGGGGGTGTTGGTAAGGTGCAGTCATTATGGCGCTTTCAATGGGCTCCCAATGCGTGGATTTTACAATCAAATCCACTTATAGTGCTGAAGTTCCCCCCGAAGGGGAACGTTCGAGGTTACTAAAGTAACCCTTCGTTCCCCGAGGAGGGGAACGGAAGCACTATACTCCGTCGCCATAATGACTGTCCCTTAGCTGTTGAAAGTCTCTTCAGCTTAAAAAGGATAGCGTCTGCTGCGCCAGGTGAGCTTATATACTCAGTTGATTGCTTATGCCGCTCACCTGCGCAGGCTTGCGCTGCCAATTCATTCTTAATTGGCCCGTTCAATACTCTTTCAGACGAGTAGCTTCTGAACCGAACCTCCCAATGCGTGGATTTTACAATCAAATCCACTTATAGTGCTTCCGTTCCCCTCCTCGGGGAACGAAGGGTTACTTTAGTAACCTCGAACGTTTTATGTTACTTAAACTTATTTTAATAAGTTAATCACGTTTCAGCAGCATTTTTTATTTATTTATTTTTTTGCTCTACAAAGTTTAATGTAATATCTTTGGTCAGTTTTACTAATTTAAGTTAAGATTACTAGAAAAATACCATTTGATCCAATTTAAAACCTAAAGGCAGAAATGTTAGGTATGTATTCCCCCTTCACATTATAAAATACTATTCAGGCATTCATTTATTTTCTTCGGCTTAGTTCCTTATTTATCAGGGGTCGCCACAGCGGAATCTACCGCCAACTATTCCGCATTTGTTTTACGCAGCTTCCAGCCACAACCCAGCACTGGGAAACACACTTACATTTACACACACTCATACACTACGGACAATTCTGTTTACCCCTTTCCATTTTAGCGCATGTCTTTGGACTGTGGGTGAAACCGGAGCACCCGGAGGAAACCCATGTGAACACAGGAAGAACACGCAAACTCCACACAGAAATGCTAAATTGTCTAGGTGGGAACCAGCAAACTACTTGCTGTGAGGTGAAAGTGCTAACTACTGAGCCACCGTGCCGTTTAAATTCACAAAATCGCAATTGGTAAAGTTCAAGATTTCAGAGTATGCTTTGCTTCGAACTCTAAATGTTGAAATTGTTAGTGTTGCATGTTGTGTTATGATTTAGTTTAGAAGTGTTTTCTTATGTCTGTTTTTGGGTGCTTCAAATGATGAGTCTGTGGCTTGATTGTGGTTTATCTTTGCTGTCCATAGAATTAAAATGATCATAAAGCCTCTCTGACTTTTTTTACATCAGCATGTGCATGTGAGCAGCTGCTGGCTCCCTGATTGAAGCACTTAATTTACTGAAGTACCACTTGGTCTTTTTTTATAAGTCAATCAGTTTGCATGCTTTTAGCAAGAAAATCAGATCATTGTACAACTGTAAAATACATTAAACAACTGTGAATACAACTGAACATAAAAGCAGGTTTTGTAATAATGTTGGGTTCCACACAATTCCTTCATGTCACCGCGATGCAAATCGATTAAATTAGCATTATGGTTTTCACAATTTGATTTTTTACAAGTCGATTGAAGATAAAACAATTAAATCAGTCCCCAAAAGCCCTCAAGAATTGTGTTGTTTTGAACTTATTTTAAATAAGTACTTTGAACAAGCAGCAAAAATATATGATACCTTGAAAGTTCCCACCACTAAGTAATCCATCACCAGTGTAGAGCATCCACTTGGATGATGTGACGGCAGCCATATTGCGCCAGGCAGCACACCACACACCAGCTGATTGGTGGAGAGGAGACAGAGTGATGAAGCCAATATAGGGATAGTCATATAGGGATGGTTAGGAGGCCATGATGAACAGAGGCCAGTGGGCAAATTTGGCCAAAATGCCGGGGTTAAACTCTTACTCATTTTTGAAGACATCCTGGGATGACCACAGAGAGTCTGGACCTCTGTTTAATGTCTCATCCAAAAAACAGCAATCACTGAGCAGTATAGAGTCCTCTTCACTATACTGGGGCATTAGAACCAACGGAGACTGCAGGTTGAGCGCCCCCTGTTGGCCTCACTGATACCACTTTCTGGCAGCAACCTAGCTTTCTCATGAGGTCTCCCATCCAGGTACTGACCAGGGCACAGCCCTGCTTAATTTCAGTGGGTGACCATTAGAGAGTTGCAGAGAGTTAGCTGTCAGCTAGCTAATGGTTCTTTAGTTAGCTAATGGTTCTGATTTGTTGGGGTGGTTAAGGTGTTACACAAATCCATCTTTTTACTAAAAATATGCTGTTTTCATGTGTAAGTAACATAGTAAACAATGTAAACAACAGATCTCTGGTAGAAACGGTGACATAAACAAATAAATAACCATCCATTGATGCAAGAGAAATTTGAGATCATGAAAAAGTCTACACAGCGGCCTCTAGTGGATTTGCAAAAACAAAAACTGTGAACAGATGTACCTGTAGTTCCATATTTCACTCTCCCTAGAAATGTAGACCCGAGTATGTATCCGTAATGAGCCTGGGTTGCGATTTTGGTTCAAACATGGACAAAGTTGAAAGTTTTAACTTAAAAGTTTTAAGTTAAATTTGTCAGTGCATTTGTTTTAACCCACCTACTGTGTTCATCCATATTTATCTATTTTTAATAATTAATACAGCATTCTTTTAGTAGACTGTGTATATCAGGGGTGTCCAAGCTCGGTCCTGGAGGGCCGGTGCCCTGCAAAGATTTGTTCCAACCCCAATTAGACACACCTGGACCAGCTAATCAAGCTCTTACTAAGCTTTCTAGAAACATCCCTGCAGGTGTGCTGAGGCAGGTTAGAGCTAAAATCTGCAGGACAACGGCTCTCCTGGACCAAGTTTGGACACCCCTGGTGTGTATATATACAGTACAATAGTCCAAATTAAGTAAATCAAAACCTGTCATCAAAGTTGTCCTAAAACTATTGAACAACACTCGTTCTTGTCTTATGATCCAACTTTTATGATTGACTTCAAATGTTGTATACAATTTGTACAACTTACTAGATCATCTGGTCAGCGCTTGACATCATACGTACAAGGGTTGTGAAGCAAAACCAAGTGAGAACTGCTGCTTTCCAAAATGTGGAGACTTCAAAGAAACCTGTGAAATGAAATAAAATCATCATCAGAGGGACATTTCAATAGAGTGCAATTGCCTGTTTAGCCAAGACCTTTACCTCTCCTGAAAGGTTTTGTAAAAAGCATAAGAATGGAAACACATGCACTCCATTGCATCATGCCACATGCACGCCCACACACACTCTTTCTCATGTGCAATAGTGTCTCAGGGTGACACGGCCTGGCTCTGAATCACCAAACCTGACTCACTCTGAACGGTCCACTTCTTCACAGGCAACGTCAGTCTAGGGGCACACGGGGCCCTTTATGCGTCAACATACACACACACACAGAGAAAGAGAAAGAGAGAGGAAGAAATAAATGCTGCTCTTTGGAAAATATTGTAGTATATTTTTTGTTTGATTTTGACGTCAATGTTAATTTTCAACATTTGAAAACATTGTTTTGGATATTTTTACATATCTATGAAACAATTAACATAATTGCTGTGATAACTGTTTTTTTAGTGTATATAATATTATTTTTTCAGTTCAGTTTACCATTATTTGTATAGAGCTTTTACAATATAAATTGTGTCAAAGCAGCTCCACAAAGAAGTCCATAGTAAATTGGAACAGTGTAGTTCAGTATTTAGTGTTTAAGTTCAGTTTAGCCTAGTTCAGTGTGGTTTAATAATCACTTATGAGAGTCCAAACACTGAAGAGCAAATCTATCGATCTGCAGCTCTACAGATCCCGAAACATGCAAGCCAAGGGCGACATCGGCGAGAAAAAAACTTCACCAATTGGCGAAAGTGAAGAATTAAAAAAACTTGAGAGAAACCAGGCTTACTTGGGCACAACCATTTCTCCTATGGGACTGCAGTTAGCCTCTTTAACAACTTGATGGAAACTCATATAATTTGCATTTGTTTGTTTTTTGTTTTATTTGATTTTCAAATTATTCTCTTTAAGTTAAGTTGGAAACCACACATCATGTGCGTGAATTACAATCTAACTAAACCTCCAATCAAATTCCACTTTAACAACTGACTGTGTGTGGTCAAATTCTGTGGTCCTCAACCAACGGGCCGCAAACCAGTTCATTAATCATTAATTATTTCCGTTTTATTTGCTATCCGAGTCTGAACAATCTTTATTTTGAAAAATGATTGTATTCTCTGGTTTACATCTCGGTCACTTGAGCACCCAAATTTAACCCACAAGCATCAAAATGAGTAAGAAACAGATGTCTTTGGAAAGTTTTTTTGCTAAGGGAAAAAGGCTCAGTGAAGGACCCGTAAACTGCCAAGGAATAGAACCACATTTGTCAACAAATCAGGTGAATTCACCATGTCTGTGCAAGAAGACCAACTGCTGGAGATGGCAAATGACGGCGGACATTTATGGGTCTTTTACATATCGTGTCTTTTCTAGAGTTTGTGCAAGTTCGTTATTTCCAATTGAGGTGCGCGGCTTCCAGAGGCACCAAGTTAAATGAATGCAGCGAGCGCACTGCAAGTCACATGACAAGAACTGACTGATCAGCTTCAGCTTGTATGGAATATACACATTTCTGTAGACTTATAATCTCAGACGAAAACAGAACACCCAATAAAACTTGTATAAGAGTGACAGCGATGTTTTGTCAGTTTGTTATCCTCTGAGAAAACGGTTAGTGGTCACCTAACAACCTACCAATCAACGCCCCCTGGTGCACAGTAAAATTGTCAAGCGTTGACCGGTCCACGGTGATAAAAAGGTTGGGGAACACTCATCTAAATCATTAATTTTCCTTCAGCTTATTTCTTTTATTCATAAGGGGGCGCCACAGCGGATGCCCTTCCAGCTGCAACCCAGAACTGTGAAACATCCATAAACACATACACTACGGACAATTTAGCTTACGAAATTCACTTATACCACGTTTTTGGACTTGAAGGGGAAACTGGAGCACCTGGAGGATACCAACATGAACACAGGGAGAACATGCAAACTCCACATAGAAGTGCCAACTGGTCCAGCCGGTGCTCGAACCAGCAACATTCTTGCTTTGAGGCGACAGTGCTAACTACTGTGCCACCGTATCACCCCTCAGTCAATCACAAACAATTAATCTCTGTTTTATTTTCTTTAAAGAGATAGTTCACCCTAAAAATGGACAACTGTTATTCATTTATTTACTCTCAGAAGTGAGTGACATTTTTTTCTCAATCACCAATTGAACTGGTGACTTCTTCACGGACAATGTTAGTCCAGGGGCACACAGGGCAACCCTCTATGCAACAACAAGCGCACACACACACACACACACACACACACACACACACACACACACACACACACACACACACACGGACTGAGAAAGGCACATAGACACAGAGAGAGAAAGCAGAGCGAGATGGAGAATGAAAAGAGATATAGATTTAAAAAGACTAACTCGCAGGCTCAATGTTAAAAGTACATTTGCGGTGGCGGGACAAAAGGAAGTGCCGTCAAGATGGGAGGGATAAAAAGGTGAAGGTCAACCTCATCTCCACCTCATCCTCTAAAACCCATCTCGCTTCAATCTCGCCAATTCAAGCCGCGGGTCCCACACTTCCATTCAAATTCCAAAACCAATCTCCAATAGAGAATTCCATCTCCGCGGGGCCGACCACCCACAAACAGGATTCAGACGCGCGTTAAAGGTGGCCTTGAGGAGACAAGGGTGAATCTTCAGTCTGATGCCACACCTCTGCCGAACAGGTGTGCAAAACGCCAGGGAAAATGAACGGAGAAGAAAAGAAAATGCATTTGTAATGAGGATGCGTGAAGGATAAACGAAGGTCTGAGTGCTGGAGTTGTGTAAACTTAGACTGATTTAGGCAATTTTGTGCACTTCGGTTTATAGTTACATGAGGAATAGGTTTTGGAGCATGAATGTAGGGGTCGTGCTGATGTCATATTATGGCTTATGAACAATAATTAGATTGTCATTAGAAAGCAAACAGAATATATGAAGCCAGCTATCAGAAAGTTGTAGAATTTAGGATTAAAATGCAATTAACAGTGTGGGGTAAGTTACTTTGAAAAAGCAATAGATTACAAATTACTGATTACTACTGAAAAACTGTAATCTGATTACATTACTAATTACTTTATGTAAAAAGTAATTAGATTACTAATTACTTTACTTTGAAGTTACTTTTAAAACATATAAAATATACCTATAAAAATACAAAATAAACTGCAGCTATTTCAGTCTTTTAATATTCACTGAAAAACATTACAGTGGGTTGATCACAGCAGCTTGACATATTCAAAAGACTTAAAGCGTTCGCCTAAAATTTTAAATTCTCTCTTTATTCACTTGTTCCAAACCTGTCTGTTTTTTGTAAGACAAAATAAGACATTTAGAAGAAAACTTTATACCTGTAACCATTGACATCCAGAGTATAAAAAAGCACTGCAGTGTTTGGGTGTTCTGTGTTTGTCTGAGGTAATTAAGTATATATTCCAAAGGATGAACCTGATCGGTCAGTTCTTGTCACGTGACTCACGTTTTTTTACTTGGAAAACCAGGGAAATGCGAGCGTCCGCAATATGCACTCCCAATATGCACATGGGCACAAAAGAGGCGATATGTGAATGGCACCATAAGCAGCTACGCTTCTCTTGACATTCAGAATATACATTAACTTCCGATTCTGCACAAAAATTTAAAACAATTTAGCCTGTTTGGGTTGAGCTGCCGTGTTTTTGGGTGCCGGTGTCCTCCTTGGAGACGGGTGTTGTCATAGAATGCTTTCTGTTCTAGTGATGGTTGAGTTAAAAGCAGTCAAAAGTTCTTCAGACTGCATTTCACAGCAATATTTTTTTGTTTTTACACTCAGTGAAATAAAAGGAATGTCTATATTTCCACTCGAAGAAGCAACCAATCTCGACAACAACTGTTTCAGCTCGTGTTCTCCAGCTATTTAAAAGCGTATGTTTATTTACCGGTGTTGCAGCAGAAAACCAGATTTAAAATTTGCATTTTTTTCTTCCAAAAACTATATTTGTAACGCAAGTAATGTAATTAAATTGATTTTAGTAACTGTAATCAGATTACACACAATTAAAACGTAAATCTTTACATTACTGTGATCCTCAAAAATGTAATTAGAATACAGTAACACTACTGTGAAACGCGTTACACCCAACTAATTGGTAATTAATTAATTTTTTTGTGTGTGTGTGTGTGAGTGACACTTTATAAAGAATAAAACACATATAAAAATTCATGATTTTGAAATTAAAATTTACAAAAGGATTGTTTGGTTGAATAAATTAATCAGGGGAACTGAAGCCAGGAACACTTCACAAAGTACTTTGTAATTTGAATGACTTCTATAGTCATGTTAGTCAGTCTGTTTCTCCTTATCACAAGGTTGACAAAATCTTGGATCCAGCCTGTATCCAGGGCAGATGGTTTATCTACTTACTCTACCTGCTTATTTAAAATGAGCTGAAACAACACAATTCTTGAGTTCTTTCATGTTCAATACGGTAAAATTTGTAAAAACTAATAAGCTAACTTAATTCCTTCATGTTTGTCCAACACAAATCAGTTGTGTGAAACCCAGCATTTTTTTTTACAGTGTACACTGTAAAAACTATTAATATAGACATTTAAATAGAATGGTATCATACAATAGTTTCTTAATCATGGTTATTTATTTATTTATTTATTTATTTTCATCATGCACATTTTTTTTTTTTTCTATTGCGTTAGATTTATAATTCTATTTTTGTGTGAGTGTAACTGAAGGTCAATTACAAAACAGTCAACTTCAACTCAAATTCCACTTTAACATTTGATTGGTAATAGCAAAATTATTTAGAATTATTGTGTCAATCAGTTAATCAATCAATCAATCAATCAATCAATCAATCAATCAATCAATCAATCAATCAATCAGTTGCATGCCTGCCTTAACAAGACAGTACACCAATTTTTGTTTTATGAATGAAAAGTGACCTTTTCTTCAGCAAAACAATAAAGGATTTGAGCTGAAACCGTGGTCATTGGTGATTCATAAAATCCTTATAAAGTGAAATAATTGGATGTATCATTAGGACCACTGGTATAACTGTTTTATACGATATGTTTTTCTTTCACTTTAAAAGTGTCAGTAGCTATTGACTTGTATCTAAGAATAACAAAAAACTGTTCCATCTAAACATGTTTTTTATTCTGTAAACTGCAGTAAATTAACAAGAAATGTTAATTTTGGTGTGATCTAACCATTTTCATCATGATGAATTTTTGCAGGTATAGCTTCACCAACATGGCTCTAGCGCACAGGACCAAAGGTCACACAAGCCCTGAAAATGCAAAGCAAGCACACAAACTAAACATGAAATGTCCGGTGTGCACATTCCACTCACATTCAACCGTTGATATGAATATTTGATACTCTAATGTATTCAGTACACTGTGCATATGATGCAAAGCATGCAAAGGATATTGGCAGCATAACATGAATACACATCAAAACAATGGAACTGAATAATTTTCCATATTAAATCTCAGACCTGCATTCAGTCACTCACTAGAGGATGGGCACCACCACCTCTGAATGTTTTTTTTTTTATTGCCTTGTCTTTTCCAGTAACTTTTCAAACAATTTTGGTCACTAATAAAATAATTCAGAGCCGCAATACTGCTACATACTTCAGACCTAATCTCGTTAAACAGACTCCTGACTATTGGCATAAAATCTAGCACGTAGCTTACTCGGAAAAAAGCTGGCAGCACATTCAAATAATGGGGCAGCAGGCAGGTTTTGCAAACAACAAAAACCGAAAGGAGTTTTTGGTCAACTGTGCATATGTTTTACGCACTAAATATTTAGCAGATTTACCTCTGAGAACAAAAAGGAATGTTGTACCTTGACCAGCAGCAGTGCTCCAGAATTTTGTTGGCAAATGATAAAACAAACCTGGTTATTTGCGTGTGTTTTTTTCTTTCTTTCCCAAATACACACTCACTGTAACAGTCTGCTAACTTTTAACCACGCCTAACAGTCTAATAATATAACAGTACTTTGGCCAATGTGCATTGATAACAAAAGTTTAAAAAGGATCTTAATTCAAAATGTGAATAATAATAACATAATAACAATAATTACAACAACAATTATGTTTCTTAATTGCATTATTCATATTGTTTAGATTCTGTTACCAATAAAGATAACATTCATGTAGATTTGGTTACCTTATAGTGCAGAACTCACAATATAAAGTTGTTGCACTGAAGCAGGGTTGAAATGCGTTGTTGTAGCATTTGATATCGATCTGCAAACACAAGAAAACAAATTATAATCAGATTCCAAAAAAAATAAACTGCTATTTAATTTAGATAGCTATTACATCACATTACAGTCAACATTTCACTTTTTAATAATTAAAGATGACCCTCGTAAAACAAGCCTGTGCTGGTCCCTAATGGACCCACTTAGGGCTAGCCTAAGGGCCCATAGCAGGCTGCGAGCACAGGGCCCCTGAGAGTTTTCTCATTGGCCTCTTAATCCTGGCCCTTTATGGGGAGCCCTCATACAGCCCCCCAGGAAAGCAACCTGCTCTGCGCCAGAACACTAGGACTTTATGGGGTTAATATGACCTGTCTTTTAGACTAGTTTTACAAATGCAAAATCTTAAATACAATACAAAACATTACAAGAAAGACCTTCCTTCATGAACAGAAGGTAAATAGATACATAAATTTAAAAGTCCTATGAAATCTTTAGATATTAATATCCGTATGCTAGTTTTAAAGATGTCTATTAGCTAGTGGCCTCCAAAACAGTGACAAAATTCACATTTAGATGATATAAAACTGATATACACGTCCAAAGCTTGCTGTTAGTCACTTCCGTCTAAATGGATCAATGTTTTTTTTTTTTTTTTCACACCATCTTATGCTTCAGTTTCTCATCAAATCTTGACCAATCAAATGCTCTATAGTCTCTAACATGCCCCACCCCTTCAAGACACTTCATATGCTTTTCATTTGATGCGCTTCAGATATATATACTAGATATCGCATACGGACCCTGAGTGTACATCAATAGTACCGCCATATTTGTACAGTGCTCCCAGCACAAATGTCATTCAATCGCACTAGTCAAGACTAAAGCTTAAGATGCTTGACTTTAGCAGTGTTTACAGGTGTAGTAACGAGCAATCAAAGAAAACCAAGCATAAAGGCAGAACATTTCATAGCTAAGATTTCGTTTTTGGATGTTATGAACTTTTATGCTTAACAAATAATGTTATTGATGATGATGCAGTCACTTACTGCACTGATCATAAGGCAAAGTAGCATCAACTTGCACTAAATTCTAGGCTTATGCTATTTTTGTTGTATAAATTAAGCAAACGATGTAAATGAAATAAGACAACAAGATGCTGCTGTGCTATAAACTTGTATTATTGTTGGCTAAGAGAACCGGTTGTTCATAATGGAGATTCATTCCCAAACGAATCGCTCCCTCCATTAGAGTAAGAAGCAGGAGAGGGGGTGTGTTTTAGATCAAAATTAACAGGGAGGTAGATAATACATTTACATGCACACAAACACATGCTCTTTGTCTGCAATGCGTGCGATCACTTATCAATTGATGTAGAAAAATTATGTAAAATTATAATTTTTCTATTTTAAAAAAATTTTGCACACTGACCACCAGGAAAACTCCCGATTATAGATAAATACATATATGTGTATATATCTCTAGCTCTGGGTGGCCAGTCCTCCACTACACCATGGTCCCGCATTCATTTCAATTGAGCTCTACCCTGTACTTAAATGACGGCGCTATTGACGCATTCCTTCCAATAAACAGCAACAGGGTAGGCAACATCTACTGTAAATATCTATGGATGCGTTTGAGCTCAACTGCTCTCAATGGCTGAGCTGAGATAAACACAAAACACTATTGGCTGTTTTTTTTTTTGTTTGTTTTTTTAAACAGGAAAGGAGCTACTGTATATCCCACCATCTCTTCATGTTTCAGTTGAGACTGTCAAACATCGGATAGAAACTGTGCATTTTAGGACCTGAAACATTAATCAACAGGTCACATTGTTTAGGCGTTTAGGCGCTAACTGCTTATAGCAACGTCAAACAAACACAAACTTTAAATGATGATACAAAGCAACAATTAATCATGCTCACCACACTGGCAACAGGAAATAATCAATTTCCAAATGAGTTTTATATAAGATTAGAGCAATAACAAACATGGAGCACTCGCTGTGTATGTGCCTCAGAGTCCTATGCAATGTTTCCCGCGTCGCTGGCTCTTAAAGGGACAGAAGGAAACAGTTCTACTATTATGGTAAGGGAGAGTAGCTAAAAACATTTATATTATGTGTAAACATAACCTATTTTACATTATTTCTTAATTATGTTACATATGTGATATACAGTATAGATCTACGGAATATCTGTTTTCTTCCTTGTCATCTTAGAAATACGGAAGTGATTTAGAAATCGGAAGTCTTAAATTCCTAATTTTTTACTGCTACATTTTTCTAAACCTTCTAGTTTGTTTCCAGCTAAAAAAATAATATTAATAAAAATAAAAAAGCTAGTAATATATAAATAAAACAGCGGATTTTCAATGTGGTCTCAGACTTTTGGACCCCAACTGTGATTCTGACCTTCAGGTGGGTTTGAGGCTGAGAAGGTTGGACAAAATCTTTATTAGTTTTCGCTCGGGTAATACTGATTTACTTCATAAAAAATGAAAAAGAAAGCGTATCATATTCCAATAATTCAAAGGGCGACCCCACAGATGTCTGGGCTGAGCCCCAAATACCGCCTGATCCTTGAAGCGCCTGCCGCTGAGCACTTTATACAGCAAGTCAATCAAACTTTTATGCATAAACTTGTTGAGAAAGAAAAATAATCTTTCCTTCTTCCTCTGCCGCGCCGTGGATGGAGCGAGAGAGCAGTCAGATAGATGGACAGACAGCAGTTGAAGGCAATCTGAAAGCACTTGAGGACAAAATGAGGCTCTGTGAGGGCTGTAATCACGGTCAGTACTGAGCGTGCTCTGTTGTGCGCCACTGTCCGTGGTGCTGAAAAGGCCTCTTTGCTACTGCAGAGTTCAGCATGTGTCATTTTCTTGGTGGTTACAGTGTGATGTGAGGACAAAAACAAGCACACATACGCATACACACATCACAGTCTTTCTCTGGTACTGAGACCCCATTGTATCGTTGCTTAAGAGGACTGTTAAAGGGAGTTCAGCCAAAAATAAATTCAGTCATCATTTATTCACCCTTCTGGTGCTGCAAACTTGCGTGATTTCTTTTTTTTTTTTGCTGTGAAAAACAGTTTTTAAAAGACACACTGGTCGCTCTTTTCCATACAACTGAAATGATTATGTAAAAGTTATTTTTAAAAAGACTCAAGAGCCCCATAAAAATATCATTAAAGTGATCCAGTCGACATCTGCTCTATATTTACTTTTTTTTTTTTTATTCCTGAGAGCTCTAAAATCATTATTTGCTGAAATATTCAAAATCTATTTCTTTATTGCTCATTTAAAATTGGATTATTTTACATAATATTCTTATTAAATGTTTAAAAAAAACACTTCTGCACTTTGCAACTTGCATGAGTTTTACTCTCAAAAATACATTTGACATTTTCTTTATTTAACCCAATATATGTAGTAGTCTAGCAATCTAGAAATAATACAGAATCTTAATTAATGCTCATTACTCATTCTAAAATAGTGTTCCATTACCCTCATGTAGCTTTAAACATGCATGAGTGACTCTCACTATAAAAAAAAATAATAATAATAAAAAAGATTTTATAAACAAATCAGATCAAAATGATCAAGATCAATAATCCAAAGATTTTTTTGGCAATTTTGGTAAACTTTTTTTTTTTCTCCCACCTGTTCATTAATTCCAAGTCAAACTTTCTAAGCTGCAATAGACTTATACTACATATACGTATACTGCATATACTTTTACTATATCTATATATAAAATAGTTGTATAAACACAAATATCTCGAATACAATACTAAATATTCCTGGAAAGACCTTGCTTCAGAAACAAAAAAATAAATATTCAGTCACCGGCCACTTGATTAGGTAAACCTGTCCAATTGCTCAATTTCAAAGCAAATTTCTAATCAGGCATGGTTGTTGGTGCCAGAAGGGCTGGTCTGAGTATTTCAGAAGCTGCTTATCTACTGGGATTTTCATGCACAACCATCACTAGGGTTTACAGAAAATGGTCCGAAAAAGAGGAAATATCCAGTGAGAAGTAGTTTTGTGGGCACAAATGACTTGTTGATGCCAGAGGTCAGAGGAGAATGACCAGACTGGTTTGAGCTGATCGAAAGGCAACAGTAACTCAAATAACCACTCGTTACAACTGAGGTATGCAGAAGAGCATCTCTGAATGAACCAATGTCCAACCTTGAGGCAGATGGGCTACAGCAGCAGACACCACACCAGGTGCCACTCCTGTCAGCTAAGAGCAGGAAACTGCGGCTACAATTCGCACAGGCTTACTAAAATTGGAAAATAAAGGATTGGAAAAACGTTGCCTGATCTGATGATTTTCGATTTCTACAGCAACATTCAGATGGTAGGGTCAGAATTTGGCGTCAAAAGCATGAAAGCATGGGTCCATCCTCTCCACTCAATGATTCAGGCTGGTGGTGGTGGTGTAATGGTCTGGGGGATATTTTCTTGGCACACTTCGGGCCCATTAGATCCAACTGAGCATTGTGTTAACGCCACAGCCTACCTGAATATTGTTGCTGACCATGCCCAACCCTTTCTGACCACAGAGTACCCATCTTCTGATGATGCAGGATAACACGCCATGTCATAAAGCGCGAACCATCTCAGGTTTCTTGAACATGATAATGAGTTCACTGTACTCAAATGGCCTCAAATGGATATATATATATATATATATATATATATATATATATATATATATATATATATATATATATATATATATATATATATATATATATGATATATACAGAGCAATGAAATTTTCACAGTACGTCTGATAATATTTTTTCTTCTGGATAAAGTCTTATTTGTTTTATTTTGGATAGAATAAAAGCAGTTATTAATTTAAAAAAAAAATTTTTTTGAATAAAATTATTAGCCCCTTTAAGCTAATTTTTTTTTCAATAATCTACAGAACAAACCATCGTTATACAATAACTTGACTAATTACCCTAACCTGCCTAGTTCACCTTATTAACCTAGTTAAGCCTTTTAATGTCATTTTAAGCTGTATAGAAGTGTGTTGAAAAATATCAAGTACAATATTATTTACTGTCGTCATGGAAACTATAAAATAAATCAGTTATTAGAAATAAGTTTTTAAAACTTTTATGCTTAGAAATGTGCTGAAACAATCTTCCCAGAACAGAACAGAAATTGGGGAAAAAATAAACAGGGGCGTTAATAATTCAGGGGGACTAATAATTCTGACTTCAATTGTATATGCACTTTTACATTTAATTAAATATTTTATAACCTATAACAAGGTTTTAAAGCAATTTATTTCAGATATCCAATTCATAAGCAGAGCAATTACAAACAAAAAAAGTCCTAAAATATTCCTCTTTTTCTGCTCAAAGTATCATTTGCTTCACGAAAGCCTTGACCTCTGACCTTTTGCAGAAAGAAGTTCACACACTCTAACTAAATTAGCTCATATGACTAACTTTACATAACTTTTTTCATTGTCCATTTATTTCCAAACCCTTATTACACTGTACAGCCTGCTTTTATAGTGTTTTTTGCATTCTTTTTAAAGCTTGAAAGCTTCAGTCTTCATTCACTGTAATTGCACGGAAAAGAGCATGGAAAATTGTTTCCTTTTGTCTTCCCCAGAAGAAAGAAACTCTTGCGGGTTTGGAAAATCCGCACGGTTCTGTCTCCCATTTCGCATTTGGAGAAAGTTTGAGAGCAAACGTTGACTGGATTGCATTTAATGTATCATCTATCTATAATGCATCAGCCCATGTGTGTATGTGGTGTTAAATAAACTGTTGCTGTGCCAACAGCATTGTTGCTTTTGATGAACTGTTGACACACATACACAAACCTCCTCATTCTGCTTTTCTCCCCCAGTGCTTCTACTCCTTTGATAACATGTGCAAGTCTCTCTCACTCTTTTATCTCCTCCTCTCTCTCTCCTTCTCCAGCAGCGTGTGGGTGGCTGGTCTATGGCGCAGAGCTTAAAATAGATGTTCCCTCTTCGTAAATGGGGGCTGACAAACAGTTGTGGGGGGTGCTGGGGAAGTAGGTTCAAACAAAAACGCATATGCATTTAAAGACGAAGGCCAGAGGATATAAATGGCGTGCGTAAATGGCAGCAACGAGACTTCCGTGTTGACAGAATGATGCAGTATGGATGAGATCAGATGCAGATCCCTAAAGAGAAGCTCTCGGTTGAATCGTCGTGCAAACAGAAGCGAGCAGGGTTTTTACGTTAGACTGAACGCAATCACCAAAATGAAAATGAGTATGACTGTTGCTATTGTTGAAGTCATTACCTATAATGCTCTCATCAACATTATCAAGAGATTGCGCGCGCTCCCTAAGCCAGATCCGAAGGGAGGCGAACGCGCACTATAATCCAGAATTCATTAAAAAATAAAACCAAACTTTGTACATGTTCATTCACTATGAAAATTGAAAATTAATACTCTGAAGTTGAGAGTTAAGTAAGAAGCGAAAGTTAAAAAAATTAGGTAATAAATAATTAAACGTAATTAGTCTAGTCGAGGCTGTGAGCGCAATATAGTTTGAGTGTAATTTGTCAAGCGCTCCAAATTTGTGATAAGTGTTGATGCAGCTAATCAAGAACTTGGCACAAACCTCGCTTTTTCACTTCCCAAACATTTTTTCTTTACAGAACTTTAAAGGCATCCATGCTGTGATTCTAGATGGGCCCTGCCGAATCTGAGCAGTCAGCATTTTTCAGCGTTATCATCTCCTGACACATCTCTGCCCTGCTTAAGATAAGTGACATGACATCTCATCCAACGGATCATAATGTGGGAGAGCATTGCGGTGCGCGCGCGTTTGTGTGCGTGCAGGTCATATTTCTCAACAGGGTGACATCACCGTGTCACACTTCCCATCCACTTCCGACCCCAAGGAGTAAGTATTAATAAGCGCACTGGGCTGAGTTCCAACAACTGCTGTACTTTACCATGTTAAACCTTATTTTCTCAGTGTCTCTGTCTTCAACACACACTCACATTTTGCAGGAAAGTGCTTAGTCATCATTCTCGGGCCTACCTCATTCTCATCATACAACATCTATTCCCTCTTGCTCACTTATGGAGGTAACGCACATCTTTTTTTGATAGGGACATCTGAGAGGGTCCTGGTCATAAATGGGATAGAATGAACTGTAATAAAGAATAAAAAAGAATGTTAACGCTATTCAGTGCTTCATATCAAAGTTCAGTTTCTTGTGATTTATTATTATGCCAGTAGGTGGCGGCAAGTAACTGTTTTTATTATAAAGTCACAGGCTGAGTCTCATTCTCTACCATATGAGGCCCATAGCCAGGGGGGTTCGAGTAGTTTTGACAGCCCTCACTGACAAAGGTCCTGAATTTGTCCCATACAAGACTGGTATGATATGATAAACAGAAAAATAACCCATTGAAAAAGGTTTTAAGACCAAGTGGAATCCTCTGTTGGCTGTCGTGACTTCAGCTAATCAATTTTGGCCAATGCAAACAATTAATTTTCATGAGTCCAACATACAGCTGTGCAAGAAAACATACAATCTGACATAAGTGAAGTCATCTTACACTACATACAAATACAATTAAATACAATTAATCTTTCGTCACGTTAAAAAAACATAATGTCTTATGCCTGAATATTTTGCACTGACCTGAATGATAAAAACACACATAAATGATAAATGTATTGGTAACGTTATGGTTAAACATTGTGACGACTTGAAATGATAAGTGTTTTTAAAGGTAGCTCCGGGTCAATTATAATACCATTACCATTATAATACCAGAAGTGAACATGATGCGCACATTAAAATATAGCTGCTGATACAATATATTGTGCAGTCCTAGTGTAGACTAAAAATGAATTAATTAAAACAGTGAAAATTACCTTATGATGTACTCCCCATCATAGGGTTGTAAATCCGTTTAAGTTTCTTCTGTTAAACACAAAAAAAGATATTTTGAAGAATGCTGATTGCCGATACAGTACCTATTTACCTTCTACAGAAGGAAAAAAATACTATGGATGCCAATGGGTTCCATCAAGCAGCATTTGGAAAGACTTTATTTTGATAGTCCATTTGAGTATTAGTAGACTGTCTGCTAATATCTGATGATATGCTCCTTTAACAGACATTAAACTGATTATAAGAAACTTTGCAAGTACATGTCAACTTACACTAACCCTAACCCCAAACTAACAGTCTACTTATAGTCTTGCCGTTAGCTAGCTTTCTGCAACTCACATGGTTGCCCACTGAAGCTAAGCAGGGCTGCGCCTGGTCAGTACCTGGACGGGAGACCACATGGGATAGCTAGGTTGCTGCTGGAAGTGATGTTAGTGAGGCCAGCAGGGGGCACTTAATTTGCGTTCTGTGTGGGTCTTAATGCCCCAGTATATTGATGGGGACTCTATACTGCTTATTGAACACTGTCTTTTGGATGAGACATTAAACTGAGGTCCCGACTCTCAGTGGTCATTAAAAATCCCAGAGTAGGGGTTTGACCCCGGCATCCTGGCCAAATTTGCAAAAGCGCTATGGAAATGTAAGGAATTAAAATTATTATTAATTATTATTATCATTATAATCTGATGAGAATTATTTGTAATGTACCTTAAATTCAACAAATGGACCATCAAAATAAAGTGTGACCCAACATTTTTCAAAACATCTTCTTTTGTGTTCAACAGAAGAAAGAAACTCAAACAGGTTTTGAACAAGTGAACGCAAGTATTTTGGCAGAAAACATTATTTTGATTGAACTATCCCTTTAAATTGCACATAGACACGGCTACACGACTGTGATCCCCGACTCCATCAATAAAATCATTATGCCAGCATTTGGGAGAAAGACCGACCATAATACACAAGCTTAAATTATAGCTAAGTTCATCATTAAGAACAGCGGCCGCTCCCCAGTGCAGCGTAAAGTGGCTCTTAATGGACATGTATTCTCGGCCCTCATAATGGGAGCTTGAAGCTCGGCTGGCCTGACTTAATTATGATTCAGTTTTTACAGTGTCATCAGTGATGTTCACGGCCTGGGCTCTGCTCTGATAAAACCAACAGAACCCAGATAGTATACGAATGTTAGGCAGTTTTCATCCCTGGGGCTCTTCCTTTGGCCCAGACAAAATGAATGTGAGCCTAAAGTGGCCCACCTGTACAATGGCAAAAAGGGGCCAAAGATTCCATTTTTTAAATGGGGCATTTAAGGCAAAGATTTGGCACTTATGGCAAAATGTAATTTGAATGTAAGTCTAATGTGGCCAATGAGAAAAATAATAAATTTGGCCCAAATGACAGAACAAATATGGGCCACAGTTGGCAAAAATGTGACATAGTCATTTAAGGGTAATCTGGGTCTGAACCCAAAGTGGCTCACATGTGTTGGTGCAAATGTGGCCCAGTTATCTTTGGAGATATGTGGGCCACTTTTGGCAAATATTCAGTACAGTTAGCTCTGGCTAATGCGGCTGTGGGACTAAAATGGCTCAGAAGAAAAATGGCAAATGTGGCCCAGTTATTTTAAAACATATGTGGGCCACTTTTGGCAAATATTCGGCACAGTTAGCTCTGGCTAATGCAGCTGTGAGACTAAGGACTCAGAGAAAAAAGGGCAAATGTGGCCCACTTATTTTAAAACATATGTGGGCCGATTTTGGCAAATATTTAGCACAGTAAACTCCAGCTAAAGTGGCTGTTAGTCTATAGTGGCACAGAGAAAATATGGCAAATGTGGCCCACCGATCTTAAAACATATGTGGGCTACTTTTAGCAAATATTTGGCACAGTAAGCTCTGGCTAATGCGGCTGTGAGACTAAAGTGACCGAGAGAGAATGTATGACAAATGTGGCCCAGTTATTTTAAAACATATGTCGGCCAATTTTGGCAAATATTTGGCATATTAAACTCTGGCTAATGCGGCTTTGGGGACCAAAGTGGCTCAAAAGAAAAATGGCAAATGTGGCTCAGTAATCTTAAAACATATGTGGGCCTCTTTTGGCAAATATCCGGCACAGTAAGCTCTGGCTAATGTGGCTGTTAGCCTTTAGCGGCCCAGAGATGATATGGCAAATGTGGCCCAGTTGTCTTAAGACATATGTGGACCACCTTTTGGCAAATATTTGACACAGTAAGTTCTGGCTAATGTGACTGTTAGCCTTTAGCGGCCCAGAGATGATATGGCAAATGTGGCCCAGTTGTCTTAAGACATATGTAGACCATCTTTTGGCAAATATTTGACACAGTAAGTTCTGGCTAATGTGACTGTTAGCCTATAGTGGCCAAGATGAGATATGGTAAATATACATACAGTTGGCAAAAATGTGGCATAGTCATTTAATCTAGGTCTAAACCCAAAGTGGATCACAAATGTAGGTGCAAATGTGGCCCAGTTATCTTAAAACATATGTGGCCCACTTTTGGCAAATATTCAGCACAGTTAGCTCTGGCTAATGTAGCTGTTAGCCTATAGTGGCCTAGATGAGATGAGGCAAATATGTGCAAATATCTCTGGCTAAAGATGGTGTGAGCTCAAAGCAGCTAAGGTAAGATGCGGCAAGTATGGTATTGTTTCCAAAAACATTTTGGAAAGTAAAGTGATCATTTGATAATTATAGTGGTAAAACCGTAACTTTTTGACATGGCAGATATGGGTAGTAATAGCTAACGTGTGGCCCAGATCTGGCAAACAGGAGCAGACCACCCTAGAGCCATCATTCCATTCAGTGTGGTCTGGATTTAAGTGTTTTGTGTAGGTTGGATCAAGGTCAGAAAAAAAAAACTGTGGCCCAGAATAGGGTCAGTTCTGGTTTATTTGGTTGAATTCTGGCTGATATGTGGTATTGCTTTGGTGTATTTGTGGCAAAGATCTGACAAACAGGAACATAAATCACCCAACATCCATCATGGTCCAGATGTAAGTGTTTGGTGCGGGCCAGATCTGGGCCAGAATGAAAACAAACTGTGGCCCAGAATAGGGTCAGTTGTGGTTCATTTAGTTGAATTCGGGCTGATATGTGATATTGCTATGGCTTAATTGTGACCCAGATCTAGCAAACAGGAGCGGACTGCTCAAGTTCCATCATTCCAAGCGGTATGTGGGCCAAATGTTAGTGTCTGGTGTGGGCCGGATTTGAGCCACATGAATTTTGCTAGCTGGGAAGTGACTTTGAGGAAAAATAACATGGCGTTATACTTGGACCTGGGTGAGGTTTTGTCCTCATTGTTTTTAACTGTCAGTAGTTTCTGTAAGATGTCATCATGTTAGTGATGTGCAGCGTTCGCTTCTCTCTAGCAAAACTGCTGTGCTCAAGTTTTTTTTTTCTTTTCCTCGCCTCTCCTTGTCCATTATTCTCTATTGCAAATGTTACCTAATACAAAACATTTTCATTTGAATTATATAATCCATGACTAATGCTCCTCTTTCATGTGGAATATTAATACAGCATTTGCATTTTCTCACAAATAGTGTTTGGGATTTTAAAAATTTAAATGGAAATGCCAATGTTGCAGTTTGGTGGGAGGCCTTGCATCACAGAATAGATTTTTTCCCTCCCATATTTTATGCATGCCTTTAACAAACACCCCCCACCCCTCCACAAATAACCGAATGCATTTTCATAGGGAGATGATGGGGGTCTCTTTGGTCCCCTGCTGGAAATGAAGATGTTAAAGAGGGGAGGAAAGAATGAATCGCATTAAAATTCAATTGGTGAATTCGCACGAGAGCTGGATATGAGATCGCAGTTCAGACGTATCACACGCCTTCTCTTTGATCCGTGTGACTGTATTGGGTCATGAAAGTTCTTTATAAATGACAAACAGAATGAAGTGAAGCGTGTGTACTCTAAATATATCTCTCGCAGGAGGATCTGTGTCATTCGGTGCGTCAACAAAAGAAGCTGGAAACGTGCTTCTTGCCTTTAGTCACTCGAATATCTCAGTGGTTCTGACTTATTAACCTTAAATCAATTGAAATGAATGTTGTGGGTTAAGTAACAGTAATATTTTCAGCGTGATGTTTATACTAATGCGCTTATTTTATTTATAAGTTCAAGAGGGATTACATTTCTTAAATGCAAAAATGCACACTTATGAGAAAGTTCAAACCAAAATCTTAAACATTTAATGAGATTACATTAGTTAGA